TTGTTGTTCGTATTTAAGGACGAACCTCATGACTTAAAAGTTCGCGTTGGACGGTATAGCCGGTTAAAATGCCAGACTCGATGAACCGCCTCCTACAGTGTCACCAATCTGTTTGTTTGTCTGTTTGTTTGTTTGTTTCTTGACCTGTTTGCTGGTTTGTTTTGTTTGAAGGCTATTTCCCTACCTTGCTAGCAAGCTAACATCAGTTTGTGGTCCCAGCTCAAAGACAAGCGTATTTGTTGCATAGTCTCTAACTTCAAATACATCTTTACAGAAGGGAATCGGTTCCTGATTGGTAGAGAATAGCACCGATATGTAAGTTAATGTCTTCTATTTGAAAATGTTGAGGCCGAGTCAAAACGTTGAAGCGTTACCAAGACAAATGACCAACCAACTTACCACTGTTTGAAGATAGGATGGGTGCTCACAGTACCATAAATGGAAATGTAAATGATTCACGGAAGAATACGCACATAAGCTGTTAAAACCCACACGGAATCCTCTGAAAGCAACATACATAGAAAGCGGTGTATCTCATCTACTTGTGCCGTTGTTTAATTTAATTCGATATTTTATGAGTAGAAATTTTGAAGTCACAATATGTTGACACAAAAATAACTATAACGTCTTCTTTGATACAAGGGAATGAATATTGCAATCCTGGAAAAGTGCATGCCTCGTTTCAGGGGAGCTGCACACTCTTGCCTGCAAGACTATTTTGCTCCCCATAAAAGAAAAGTATCATGCATGGGCATCACTTGCATCCTTATTTACATGATAGGATTAAAAATAATAATAAAATAAATACACAAGTTGAACCTTCCAGTCTCTCGAGTTCCTGATTGACTCAAGGGTGTCATTTTAATACAACACCAACCTCTTTCCTCAAACATGTTGCAAATGTGCTACACAAGTCTGGGCTTAATAGCAAAACCTGACCCAGCAGATTTTGCAGTAAAGTAAGCTATTTGAACATAAATAAAGGGGGTTAGTTTCTAAAGAAACTGTGGTGCTGCATTGGTGGGGTTAACAAGGTAATTTGGTTGTATCAACTGAGTTGAAATTGTAAATTGGCAACTGTAGCGTTAAAAGCTAACTTTTTGAGTGTTAGCCCTTTGTCAGAGCGAATGATGAAAGGCTAATGCACGAAACATCAGCTTTTTAACTCTTTGCAGTGGCCAATCTACAATTTCAACTTAGTTGATCTAACCAAATATTTGAACATAAACTTAACTACAGTATCATACATGTAAATGCAAAAGGATGTAAACATGCAAATTATTACCTGTGACTACTCAACAGGGCTGTCTCCATACTTAGTAACAGTGCCTCTTCAGTTAATATCTAGAGGTCAATCATGATGTGCTGTGTTAGTTAAATCAAGGGGGGTTAGTCTTTGAAGAAATTCTAGTGCTTCATCAATGGGGGGGTACAAGATAATTGGGTTTTACAAGTGAGTTGGTAAACAAAATGTAAATAATGGCCATGTCAAAAGAGAATCTAAAGCTGATACTTCAGGTGTTAGCCCTTTGTCAGAGCAAATCCAACAAATCCAGAATGATTTTTGTTCAGATGAGGGGCTAACACTGAATTATGTATCAGCTCTTGCAAACATTTCCAATAAAGCAGTTGGGTCTCACTGTTCATGGATCATGCTAGTTTAGGTGTCATATTTTCTGCAATCAAGTATATCATAAAGTTGAAGTAAATCTCTCCAATAATCTGCCCACAAAGGTAAATAAAGATGAACAAACAATAAATAGACCGAGTCATTTGGACATCATTCAAAGCAATCACCTGAGGAAGACAAGAGTTTATGCTTGGTACCAAGAGTGAGTGGCCATATTCAATAGGACTATTGTTAATTATCATGACATGTCGATCATTCGTCACTGCACCCCTGTGCTTTGGAATAAGTTCAAACATCACCTTAAATGATAAATTATATACACAGCATGTGTCAGTTCAATAATATTTCATAAATATATTGTCGTCAAATCTCACATCTCACATTTGAGACAAATAACGTTCTTCATTGTGTTGTATCAGTTTCACTAGCAGTAGTGTTTATACATGAAGAGGTCGTGTTATACATAGTCATGAATCTTCTGACAGCACTATTTAACTGTGTGTAATAATAAAAGAAAAATTTTGGATTGCATTTTTTCATGATAGTTCAATATTATTCACCAAAGTGAGGGTAGTTATCCACCATGTTCATTTACACTGGGGTAAATAACTGTTTCAGTATACACCGAATGCAAATATGGCGTCCAATTTGAGTTGCCATTGTTCTGGACTGACTAGCCTCTCACACATGTAATGATCCTTTTGTATTTCCACATGAAGATGAGGCTAGTGAGTCCAGAACAATGGCAATTCAAATTGGACGCCATATTTGCATTCGGTGTATACAAAAGTCATGTACATTTAAAATAAAAACCAAAAATATTAGTTTATTTCTGTCAATATACCAAAAAAGTGTTAGAATTTAAACTCTTGTTGTTCAATTTTGTCTCTTCGGCTGCTCAGAAGTGATTATTTCCAAACTACATGTACTGCAGCCAATCAGAGCTCATGAAAAGCACTATAGGGAAATGGTTAGATAATTTGGTGCATAAGTACTGCTCTTCGGCGTGTTACCTCTTTCTGCGGTACTTTGGTGAAGTTGAATTTTGATGGGTCAAATGGCTGTGACACCTTATTGATTAGATCAGGCTTCCTCCGTTTTGAGAATCGCAGCTCATTCAACTGAAAATGCAAAAGTAAGGACCCAACTTAATTGTATGACAGTTTTGAAAATGAGTGAGTATTAATCTGTAAATCATGACCTTTGAAACATGGCAAAATCTTTCACTGCTCATGAGAATACAAGGTTTCTTTGATCACTAATAGCTATGGCAGCCATAAATATGCTTGCCAAAGATATTTAGTTACAACTTTACAGAAATAATTTTTTAAGAACAAATGGTCTGCAAATCAATAACCAAATTTGTATTTCAGAAGTCACTGTCATGATTTTTTTTGTCAAACCATAGGCCTACACAACATTTCTTTCATACAATTACCGTTAACAGTTCTTTTAAACAACTTATAAAAGTATATGTTTTCAAATTTGCAAACAGCAAACTAAAATATTTGCCTATGATTGCACGAAACACATAATAACTTTCGAAACTTGTCAGTATATTCTACTGCTAAATCAAGAACTTAAAAACTTTTGGCTAGCAGAGGCAGATACAAGTATTTCAGTTAATGCCCTATTATGAAATAAAACCATGACTGTAGAATATGTACTCTGGTCTAGTAATTGCATTCATCTATTGACATACCTGGACATACAAATGATATTTTCCAGGAGCAATTCTTCCGTCTACACAGTCCAATTTGTAAGTGAAATAGCCTGCATCCACAGCAGCATTCCAACTTGTTTGAAGCTTCTCATCAAACTAGAAAATCAGCAACTGAAAACTCAATGCAAGCTCTATCAAGTTGAACATAACTTGAGTTATGAACTGTGTCCTGCTTACACAACTTTACCTTGCTGATTGTGAACTCTTGTTGTAACTTGTCACGATTACCATATCCACTGGGCCAGTGAAAGTCATTTTCAGTGTAGCTGAATTGTTGTTCTAATGAACAAATCCCACTACATGGTGCAGCCATATAGTTTTGGGTTCACAGCTCTACAGTACAGTTTGGCTGTTCTAGAATATAAATAAAAGTTTGATTAAAGGAAAGTCTGGTAAAATAAAAATAGTAAAAATCCAAACTCCTGAATGAACCCCTATGAAATTTCAAAAGATTTTAAAAGCGATAGGTTTTTTTTTTTTCTGATCCTACAGAGTGAAAATGTTAATTTTCCGCTATGACTATCTAATTTTAATATTAGACTGGCGCTTGAGGCTTTGTGTTACGGTGTTATCAGTGCATTTTTTTAAAAACAACCGATCTACACAAAATTAACTGAAATTAAAGATTCGATCCCAGAAACATGTGTAAATCTTCACACAAGGAGAACGAATGGTTGAAATATTCAAATTGTATGTATCTCTGTTCAAAAATTATTTGACTCAAAACTTTTCCTCGATCGACATAATTTATGTAAAACTAGCTGCAAATGTATCAAATTCTTCTGGTTTAAAATCCACGTCGACATCGATGCCGGTCATCACAGCACTTTAGGGAAACTGTATAACCTTTTCTTTGGAAGTCGTACAAGCGAATCGTAAGGCAATGCAGCCCTAACGAAACCAGCAGCATGAAACTAAATACCTTGATGAAATAAGAATAGAAATCTACTCACTTTTTGATTATATTGACAATTGGCTTCACCGATCGATATCATTTATCTCAAAATAATTCGAAGGCAAATATAATTGGCGTACGTTGCCTGGTTCCCAAGGCCAAACCGGTTTGTTGATACTTCATATATGTGAAGGCTGAACGAACACAGTTTTCGCGCGCTCTTGCTGATGCAATTCAGCGCGCCAAGGATTGCAAAAAAACAAACATGCCGTCGACAAAGCAGTCATTTCATTTACTCAACACGTACCCGCACTATCTGTGCTATTTTTCTCTATAGTTAGCGCAGTGTATAGAGGGCTTTAATCTTTTATTACAAAAATATGTTGGAAAAGTTAACTGTGCAAAGAACCCAGCTACATGTAGCGCATGCGTAGTAAGTCAAACAATTGCGATTGAATGGAAATTGCTTTCATGGAAATATGCCTATTTTTTGAGAACCACTCATTAGAATTTCACGAAATTTGGCACAAAAATACTTAAGAAAATAAGTAACTGGAGTATTAGAAAAAATTGATTTTAAAGAAAGGAAATTCTACAAAATCGAGTGAACCTTCAACAAGGGATAATCAACGATCTCTCTGTTAAATTGTTAGCAAAATGGTGTTAACTTGTGAGTATCGTTACATGCTCGCTGCATGCAAATTATAAAGAAAATCTAATGACTAGATTTTCTACAAAGAAACAAAACCGATTTAAATTGCCTATTTATATCTATTCACGTCAGCTTAACTATCGAAAAAACAAAGTTTGTAATTATCTTGCTTGCTGCCAATTTTGACGACCGAGAGATCAAGGGTTTTAGAGAAAATGGTGAAAGAAACAAAGGTATCAAAAACTGTGTTCAGCAAAACTGAAAAAGTCCATAACTCGTTATGATCGAAGAACGTAGTGTACCATTTAATATGAAGTACCACAGTTTAAGAAGTAGGTGGCACACAAAGAGGAAAGGGAGGAGAAAATTGTTAAATTGGAGCCACCAGAACGAAGCGAGCGCAAAGCGTGTTCGATCCATTGCAGATCTATTACCCACTCCTGTTGCTCAAGGGGTCCTACTTTCCCTCAGTGAAGGAACACTCGACCCGAAGCGCTAATTATTGCGGCCTGTTCGTAGGCTATACCAAATACTGCTTGGGAACTCAATATAACCTTGAATGATTCAGCTTCACGCTCAAATTTCTACCCTTTGTACGCCGGCCGTGCAAGCTATAATACCCAGTTAGTCATAGAAAAGTCACTGTTTTTTCTGGCTAATAAAATAAGTCATTTTATTTACAAAAGATATAAATACCATTCATAAGGACCAAGAGTTAATTTAAGAATCGGCAAACAATGATTCAGTCGCTATGTGTGCAACAATTTTCGTATGGCCTCTCTGTGCCTGATAAACTCTTGTTCTGGTAATGTTGCTCGTGCCATGTATTCCACGAAATTCTCTTCGGTAAATGAATCGAAGGTTTTCCTTGCTAGAAAAGAAAATGATGGCATCTGTTAAGAAGTAGTTTGTGTGACGGGATTGTTTTGGTTTTGCTTGACTTCGCTCTGTGATTGGTCTAAAAATCTCGCGCTTCTTTTCGACCAATCAGAAACAAAAATAAAGGCAACGCAAATTGGTCACCCGCGTTTTTCCCGCGCTTCAGTAGGTAAAATTAGTGGCAGCAATGTATGTTGTACGTATGATGCACAATCCTCGCAGTAGATAGCGCTATTTAAGCAATAGCGAAATACGTATCTAATGCCGCAGTTCAAAATATATGAACTTCATATATTTCATTGTATTCTAATGTATGTTGTGTTGCCTGGTAACAATTCGGCTGAAACCACCTACTACTAACTACATTCATTGTTACTGAATAACTTGAATTAATTACTTTCTACTGCCAGAGAACCAGCAAACTCGTAGACAGCGATAGGTCGCTTTTCAGACTCGTAAGAACTCAATTCCTTCGCACCTAGAAGGGAAAAAGAAAAAATTAGGAAATACCGGAAAACAAGAAATGAACGCTTTGATACAACACTTGCTCAAAGCTCTCGCTTAGGCTTCTGTAAATTTTGATGGCGGTTAAAAGAGTAATGATGCATGTGTGACGAAAGATACATTTGCCTTCGTAACCACTTTGATAAGAATCAAAGTTAGACACGGTACTACGCGAAAGTACCGCCCCGTAGCTTTCACTGGAATGAAAGCTATCGAGGTCTTCATCACTAAGAGTCGAGGAAACTCTTCTTGTCCCGAACACTCCAGCCTTAGGGAATAGAGGCTTTGACCAAAGCTTTGAGCGATAGGTTACATAGTGCAACGCACTCGTGTTTAATCGAGCCACTTTCAACTGCAACATTTACGGCTTAACTTGTATGTTCAGTGAACGGTCACATACACTAGATGTTGGGCAACAGACAACAAAGTTAAAACCACTTTGACCGACAAAATCAGTATAACTTGAAAATAATGCATAGTAGCTTCATGTGAATGGTCCCACTTTAGGGTTTTAATCCTTTTTTTTCTTACAACAATATTAATGTTATTTCTTCGAGACTTGTCTCACCATGGACAGGGTTTCTTGGCCAGAGGTATACTCTGAGAACTGAACATTCATCGCTGTCGACTTGCGTAAGCCCATTCATTTGAACACTAGGACGGCATCTTGCCCCCCGAATGATGTGCAAGTTATGAGCGACCTCTTCTTGGATAAAATACGACGAAACTTTGTGTATTGTGCTGTGGGTGCAAAATAAGATAACAGTGAAAAGCAAAAACATCTGGAAAATAAACAATCACCATTAAGCAATAAGAATAGTAAGCTGAGGTTTAGCGGTCCCGATATAAGTTTGCCCCTTTATATGATACAGAGGCTACATGGCATTCTCTATTTGAAACATCCTATATTCAAATTACCTACCGTGCAAGAAAGCCAACATCAGTCTCTGGTGCCAGCTCAAAGACAAACGTCGTAGTTGGATAATCGTTGACTTCATAAACGTTTTCACAAACAAGGCTGACACCCTGTTTACCAAAAATGAGACCATCGTGATCACAATTAATACCAATGCGATAATTAAGCTAACAGGTAGCTAATTTTAGTCACAATAGGAAAGAAAAATTGTTAGAAATTACCACCAGTGTACAATCATTTCAAACTCAACGAGGGTCAATTCATTTCACACTTCCGGCGGATCTAAATATTTACAGCAAGAGACATCCACATCATGAGAACTGCAAATGCTCTGAGAGATGAAAAACCTACTTATACACTGTTCCTGTAAGTGAAAGTTAGTCAGAGTGAGCACTCTGCAGAGTGAATTAGGGAATTGGCTCAGTGGGACAGCAAAACACCAAAGAAGTAATAGTAAATCAAGAACAAACAAGGGAAACTGAGAATGAAGGATACTGACATGGATTGCCAATAACGAAAAAGCCAGCAGTGTAGGCGTCTTCTTAGCACGAGTTAAAGTCCCTATTCACCCTCAGAGGTTTAGATATATTTCGATTCTTTGCGTTATCAGGATTAATCTCCAAAAAATTTGTTTTTGATTGATTAAATATTTTCCGAGATATGCCGCCTCAAAGTTCGTCCTTTGGCCACGCCCTTTTGATTTGGCCACGCCCTTTTGATTTGGCCACGCCCTTTTGATTTGGCCGGACTAAGTGAATACTGGTAACTAAAAGTCCCTCATGACGTCACAGCAAGAACGTCTTTCGATCGATGTGCCTACATTCACTTGAATATGCCTTTAGACGAATCTGGTGTATTTGAGCAACCAGCGACCACGCAACGAGTCGGCATTTTCACACCATTTTACAGCAATAGACACATGTTCTTAAACAAGAAGTTAACAGTTGTTTTTGCTGTGACGTCAATCGGCCCAGTAATTCTCTCCCGGCCAAGTCAAAAGGGCGTGGTCAAAAGAGCAACTTTGAGGCGGCATATCGCGGGAAATATTTAATCAATCGCAAAATCTTTTTTTTGGAGACTAATCCTGATAACGCAAAGAATCAAAATATATCTATAAACTCTGAGGGTGAATAGGGACTTTAACGTTAAGATGCGTGCGATCGTTTTATCCAACCGGCCGTGTTTGATTTCGAGTTAGAGTCGATGGTAGGGGGAGGGGGCGGAGAGGGGCGAAAATCCACTCCCCTATCCTCACTCCTCCTTATTTTTTCACTGTCACTCACCCCCTTGGTACAAATTTCTTTCTCTCCCCAGCCTTCCGCTTCCATTAAAATCAAAGATGACGGCCAAATTTTTCGCTGAGAAAATATTGAGCACTAGCTCGCTAAAAATTACGTCTACTCTGCAGGCTAATAACGAAAGGAAACTGATTTAAATTAGAATCGCATCATTGAATTTTATCTCGCATTCTGATTGGTTAACGAAGCGAGGTATTTACCGTTGAATTGCGAGTTGAAAACGAGGCTAAGTAATATTGTTTCGCATCAATGTAAACATCAATTTTAAGTAACGCTGTTTCCTTTTTTTTCTCATTTTTATTCAGTTATGCAATTCAAGGAAAATCGAATACTTCACTCGTGAATTCCGCATTAAATTGCACTTGAAAACCGATATCGCACTCATCGCTTCGCGATTCATGCGATATCGGTTTTCGCCTGCAATTTCATGCGGAATTCCCTCGTCAAGTAATGAATTTTCCTATAGAAGCGACGCGGCACCTGTGAAATACATGTAAATAATCATTAATCAAAAGCATATAAACATGAGACAGTTTGAGGAATTGCAAGCACCACATGGTGAGGAGCTAGTCCTTCAAAGTTCATCCCTCAGGAGTAAATCCCTCCCTTTCCTTTCCACCCCTCTCCCAGTGAGTCGATTCTTTTGCTCGCTTTCACCCATGCCCTTACGTGGCTCCCGCTCAGCTCACACTTCTCTCGCTTGGAGAAATTATAAAAAAAAAGGCTAGGGCCTGGCAAGCAGGCTAGGTTGGAGAGAGGCGCTTTAAGACTAGAGCTCATACGGGCAAAAAAGAAAAAAAAAAAAAAAACCACAGTATTTGTTAGCTTGACCGAGACCACTAGGTAAGGCTTTCTGTGGTCTTTGTTCTTCCTATAGGGCCAAAATGTCTCTACGGTAGAGTCTTTCTCGTTTCGTCAATCAGTTATGCTGTTAGAGTGCTATATTGACTTACAGCTGTCTCAAGATAGGATGGGTGTTCACTGTACCAGGTATGGAAATGTAAATGATTTACTGAAGCATGTGCACACAGACTGTTAAATCCAACATGAAATCCTCTGCAACAAAAACAAATCCATGCAATGACTCAGGCTGAATCAATGAGGCTAAATATACAAAGTGGACTTGTCAAGTCTCGTTTTGAACTGTGTCCAGGAGTTCTTTGCCCATGACTGCAATCTGGCTGGTAACAACACTTTAAGTNATGAGTGATTAATTAAAAAATTGGACAACTGAGAAGTGGGAGTCCGATTTGTCAATCACGAGTGCAATGACAGACTAAATTGGGTGACACAAAGTCCTGTTGCCAACACATTATAACCATTACAATACTCTTTTTTTTTTTTAACAACTTTATTGACCATTACACATATTACATACAGCAAATTAGACGACCTAAAAGAAATGGGATATATATACAGTGATTTAAAGCGATAAGGAGGAAAGGTCAAAAGGGCTGGTGCGAACGGGACATGAGGACGCATGCGAGGCACCGCCCATACATCTATTTGAGAAAATAGCTCCAGTACAGACACTGTCTTTTAAATTAATAAAAAATTCCTCCAATTTGGAAATTTTCCTCTTTTGTTGCTGATTGTTGTGATGAGTTTTGCGATTGGTGGATTTAGTCAAGTGGATTTATCATGATTGGCTGTTTTAACTATCCAATTACAGGTGTCCAATTACGGCCAACTCTCTGATGACACTGTAAAATTCAACTCTGCAGAATAATTAGTAAAAAATAAAGCAGCTAATGCACAAATCACATTGTGATGGTTATGATTACGAAATTAAAAGGCAAGAGGAGATTCAAGTGATCCCTCGCACAGCTGCCAACTGAAGTATAATATTCTTAAAATTAATTCTTTTGAAATTAATAGAAATTGCATGACTTAGTATGAGTCATTCCATCATGGAAAGACTGTAAATGTAAGGTTTTTCAAAACAGAGCTGGGAGACGTTTACAAATGGTTCTTTGTTATCAAGCCGCAGTACCCACATCTATTACAGGAACACAATCATGTACATCAAGATGACAATGAAAATTTACCCTGTTTATTTCCATTTTGAATTTGAAAACAAAAATTTATAAAAAGGGCAAGAAATTATGATACATTTTCAGCCTTTCATTCCATGGAGTGACAAAGATAATTTCTCCTCACACTCAATATCAACACAATAGTACGTAAACAAGTGACAAGAATGAAGAAAATATTCAAATGGATCATTATCTGATCCAACATCAATTTCTCAAAACTAAAATTATACAAACTGTAGGTTGTATATAGACAATGACTATTGAGATTTTGGAATTGATTGTCTTAAGAGGGTGCTTTCCCCAATGTATGCTGTTTTCTCTAAACCAATCCTTCAACTCCAAAGATCTGATTGTTAATCCTCCCCTCCAGCAGAATTTAGTGTAAGACTAAGATAACTTCTACCAAGTATGTTTGGGTATTCTCATTACCCATTTGCTGGATAGTGTATGGATATTATAGGGAGAAGTTACATGTGAATCACTTCTGGGAGTAAGAGGGTTAACAGAACATATATTACGTATATGTGCACGATCCTTCGAGCACGATCCTTAGAGCGCTGCACTAGTATCGCAGAGGTCAGTGGTTCGAATCCCGTACAGGCCTGAATTTTTTTCAGGTCTGATTTTCACTATTGCTTAAATAGTGCTTTACTGCGAAGGATCGTGCACATATACGTTTCATAATCGCAGTTCATATATATGTATTTCATATGTTTGTTGTTAGAACATATATTATCAGGTAGAGTGTTTACCTGGACAAATACTCCATATCTACCAGGCACAATTCTTCCCTCCACATGATGCAATTTGTATGCAAAAGAACCAGCCTCCAATGCAGCATCCCAGCATTCTTGAAGCTCTTTGTCAAACTACAGTAAACAATCGTAACTCTTTCTTACGAAAATACAACAGAAAAATGATCAAATTTCAGTTTCTGATTAAGATAAGTAACAACAGATCAACTACTGAGTTTAAAATTCACCTTGCTCAACTCTAAAGTTTCATTTTTCTCATCTCCATTACCAGGCCACAGTCTGGACCACTGGAAATCCTCTGCAGTATAGAAGTACTTTTTGTCTGTGAAAGTCATCTTTGGGGTCGACATATTGAACGAGAGTTTGTAGAGCTATCTTCATATTTTACAATGCTGTCTTGACAACTGCAACAAAAGATAATTTGTTTCATTGTATTTTTGGATAAAACATTTTAGCTTAACATGAACAACAAAGGTACGGTCACCAGTCTTTCATATAGCTTTACAGTTAGATGCAGATTACACTGAAATACAGTAGCTTCATTGAAAATGTGTTTCAATACTACGTTATAATTTAGGTAAAAAAAATCAGATATACTTGTTCACTCTCTTTTTTATATTAATCGAGCACCAAAATACACGTATAAAAGCAGACAAAGTTCACGATATTGTGAGAACGTTTATGTACCTTACTTCCCTGCCGCCATTTTTTTCTCCAACTGTGCATGGTTACAAAGCTATTGGTTGGTGAATTATGTATTCAACACAACTTTTCCTGACAGAATGAAAAGTCACCATCTTGAGTTGGAGATGTGTCAAACGTTGTGCAAGACATATTAAGACTGTTTGTAGAATTATTTTTTTACGGATAATCGTCAAAGAAGTAGTCGAGATAACAGAAAACCCTTGAGATCAGCCTAAGCTTCAGCGACCGCAAGAAGGTGGGAGTTTGTTTATCAAAGCTAAATATAGTTTGTGGTTTTAGTGAATTAGAACTAAACTGGTTGTTTCGACTGAACGAGAGAGAGAATATTTCCTAGTAGAGGATACTGTGTTAAACTAATCGTCCATTAAGTAACTTTTCATGTTCAACATCGTTTGGCGGTGCGTCTACACTTATTTGTAAACTCATATCAGGGTGAATTTTCAGACATGTTTCCAATAAGATTGCTGCTTGCTTTGCCGGCGTTTTTTGAGCGCTTTAAGACGTAGTTTGGGTGGCAGAGCGGCCTCGAGAAGTCAATGCTTCAAAGCGCACATAAAACCACAAACAATCCCCAAAACCTGACCCGGCTTCGCTGCTCAAACCCCAATGACGCCGAAACACCGCCAAAGTCACAGGAAGGGTGTACCAAAAATAAAGCAATTATGCCGATAGTACAGAAAGTGCTCGTTCTGAATAGTTGAGGTACTCGAGATCCCCGCTAAGATCTCGACACCGCTCCAGATTCCGGATTGCCGCGTTTTGCTTTCTACAGCAAGCAAGCCTGGTTTTTAATAGTAGTACAATATTTATATGTCGTTATTTGGTTTGTGCCTCTAAGACGAAAAAAGTCTCTTTTCTTTCCACTGTTTTTCAATATCAAATAGTACCTTGGGTTCGGAAATAAACATAGATGTTAAAATTAAGGTACAGAAATACTCTTTACCACCATTTTTCTCAGGCGTAAAATCACTGATTTCCGTTCGCCATTACTGAAATTCGGTTTCAGTTGAGCCGTCAATTTTCAGCGGTTGACACCCATCGTGACGACAGATTCTCTTCAAACACTTCTTGGCAAGAGAAATTATCGGAAAATATGTCCAGCTCAGAAAAAGGAATATTCGCAAGTTTCATCAGGAGATGACTCAGAGTGTTTGACTAGCGCCTCGGAGGATAGTTTTTTATCGGCAACAGGGGATTTTGTGCTATAAGACGAAAGTGTCGAGCCGATCACAAACGACATCAGAGAATGATTTGTAGCTAGGCTTTCGTTGGGAAGTTTTCTCAAAGTTCTTTATATAAGTATCGATGCCGGCATTTTGCTTTGATTAAAGTGTGTATTCAAGACATTGATGTCAACCATTTCATTGTATTACACAAATCACCCGGCATTTGAAAGTGTTTGTTTGAACAGATGGGTGCTACACACTGCTGGTATTGGTTTAAAAACAAGGTCTAAAAAGTCGTATACTACTATGCTGACACTAGAAGAAAGAGCAGAGGCAGAGTAAGGTTATGAATAAACAGATCGAAATCAAAATTATTATACTTGGAGTTTGTCTTATACAAAGTTAACATGTACAGTAGGTAGTGCCATACCCATTCTTACTGTCCTATAGCAGTATGAAATTGCTAATGGATATTAGATTACCTCTAAGTCTGGCAGGCTTGTAGTTAGGACTGAAGAAATTTTGAACGGTATTACAAATTATTTGGAAGTTAACCCATCGACACCTACGTGTAACACGTGCCTACGCAAAGTCAAAATTTTGGAGAAACCAGGAAAGCAAACACTACCACAGGGCGCCCACACAAGCGGCGTGTCTGGTCGTTAGTTCGAAATATAAAGAAATGTATGGGAGAATATTGAAGAGTCGTAATATCGTAAACTTATATCGAGGAATGTCTATGTTAGGCTCAAAATAAATGTAAACCTACCTCACTTGCAGTGTATTGTCGTTTCTGTGGTTGTAAATGACGAGTTTGAGCGATTTGGTAGACTCTGCGTTGAGTGCTGCTTCACGTTTTAAGAAGGAGACTCCTTCTTATAACGTGAAGTAACACTTAACGCAGAATCTACCAAATCGCTCAAATTCGCCATTTACAACCACAGAAACGACAATACACAGCAAGTGAGGTAGGTTTACATTTATTTTGAGCCTAACATAGACATTCCTCGATATCAGTTTACGATATCACGACTCTTCATATTCTCCCTTACATATTCTCCCATACATTTTTTTATATTTCGAACAAACGACCAGACACGCCGCTTGTGTGGGCCCCCGTGACACTACGCGCAGTAAATTTTTAAAATTATCTTCTCAAAAACAAGCTCCAGTGAAAGAACACTAATTAAAGAACTTATTTCCGACTAAATAAGCGATAGGTGCATGTTAAGTTTTTACTGAAAAATCAAGATGGAAGTTAAAAATCGCTAAATATTTTCGCATGTGTGCAAAAGGCATGCGGATCATATTTCAGAAGAGAATATGCAAAGTTGTCTGTGACTGAAGAGATCTCAAGTTCCATGGAATCTATCAATAAGAAGCAAGACGAAAATGACCAAGAAATAATTCGGGACGACAGTTTATTCAAAACAGCTCTTGATATGCTGTTATAAGCGAAAAACGTATGAATTTCTTACGTGTACAAAGCCCACTCGCCATAAAATTCATCATGCTTAGATCGTTGTTTACTTGACTTCACGACCAGAAAATTACGTAGCGTTATGTTGAAAATTCTGAGAAAACTACGATTTGACAAAAATATTGTATTAAACAATACTTTTTGAACACATTGTTACTCTAACATGGAAAACTGAACACGTCATTACTCTAGACTGGAAAACTGAACCTTCGCGGAAGGCACAACAATAACTGGGGGAAAGTAACTCGGTCGAGACCACTCGGCAGCGAGAACGGAAACTCGTCACGATTTCCTGGTACACGGAGATCTACTTGGAGCGAGCTTGTACGGACGGCAAGGGTGAGACAATCTTTTGGTTCCACAGTAAACTTTATTCAAGGTCAGGCCAACAAGCGACCCAAGTTCAAGGATGTAATCAACAAAACTGTACATTAGGCAGCTGCTTATAAGCTAACTGGCATGAAGTGCTATTGTTATCCAAATCGACCATATTTAAATAGCATAACGAAAGAAGCGGTAGAGATCGCTTTGAAGTTATACGAAAACTACTTTAGTATATTCCCATCTGTTTCTACGACGAAAAGAATTTCAAATTAAAAGGACGGATGCAATCAACGCGAGGTCATAAAAAATAGGAAACTTAGGTGAGAATTCACAGTTCTGGTATAGAAAATATACCTATCTTAATTGCAATAGCGCAGCTTAGGAAATAAGAGTGGAAAAGTAATTAAAAGTTTGCTTATCTATGCATGGTTGGTGTGGAAACTATCGTCTGAAAGGAAATTAAAATTACGAGTTTAACTCAGCTGCCAACTACCATGAGAACCAATTTTTTTTCCAGAAAGACCATTAACACTTATATTTATCTAAAATTTCACAAAGAACGACGGAACAACAAAAGTATCGAGATGCAGCTGTACAATTTAACTTGGCTATTCAAAATTTACTTGTGGCTTTTTATCTTTTTAAAACATCGCAATGAAAGAAACTCGCATAAATTGTGAACGCTAAAATTCCGAAAACAACGAATAAATATGCTTAAACTTCTACAGGGAAAAATTACTAAATATTCTCCTAACAGTTTTCACTTTACGTCCATAATTCGCATCGCTTTAGAGAATTGTAGTGTCGTTGACTCGAGAGCTTATTCTGTCACCTTTAAGACCTTGATATCCATTATTTTCCAAGCAGAGTATTCTATAGCATTGCAAGTTAGTAGGTTTTGTACTTGCAAGCGGCTCTATTGAAATTAGCCGCGTGTGTTTTTCGAGTTGAGAATCCGACGTCATTTCTGCTTACTTGGTTGGAACGCGCTTCATTAATGACGGCCAGTAAAAAATGGAAAAATACGCTCCGAAAAAACAGACTTCCCTTGCTCTGATTCAAAAACGATTTGGACTGGTGAGTGAGTCCAACACGAGGTTTCAAAAAATGAAATTTTATTAAACTTCGAAAACTAAAATGTTGTGAAAAGAACTCTATAAGGTTCTTTTTTATTTCTTCTGCTGCTGTGTCAAGCACTTAACGCCTGCTTGTTATTGTAAACTCAAGTGGCACACGAGGTTATCTCGAAAGTTAAACCTGATTTAGGTGAACCCTATCTTCAGCTAACACCCTGTATAAGACCGATTTTAGCCAAGATCCTAACCTTTTCTTCTTGTTTTTACTGTAAAAAGAACTTGTATTTATCGAAAATCTCTATTGGACGGACGCACACTTAAATTGAACCCTTACGTGGCCAAAACTTGTGTTAAACTAACTCCTCAAGAGGTATATTAGGAAACCGTACATATTAAAACATCTGAGTTTAGTTCACGTCAGTAAAAGTTGTGCGGCGTTGATTAAGGCCGTCTTGTGTAGTTGGCGGTTTTGTGTGCGAAGAGCGGCAAGGCCGTGTGTGAGAAAAGCCGCTTGCTAAAATTGTATTAAGCCTTTTGCAACTAACTTGTTTTGAACTATGTTTTGAATCAAATTTCTCGCTAGAAATGCGCTATGACGGAACAGAGTATAAGAGGCTCAAACAGGTCAACGGTTAGTACCAGATCCATGTAAGGCTGACCCGCTAAGAGACCGAAAATTTGACCTTATGATCATCGCAAAATGTAGAGGGACTTGTTTTGGGCGGAGACTTTGTGCTTAGCGCACACTTTGAGCTAAGCGAACTCCCTGTATTAAGCAGAAGTGTTGTAATTATTAGAAAGACTATGAAACAGGCCAAAGCGAGATTCCCGTGGGTTTTCGCTTTATACAGGTTTCGTTGCATAAAGTAACTCGTTAACTATCCTTCCGACAAGACGGCGGCAAACTATTGACTACGCCACGCGTATTGTTCATCGGCGATCACTTAAACTATGCTTATATATATGTATTTCAAAATTAAAAAAAGAGATTTAAGAGTCCAGTCTAATTACATTTGTTCTGAATCTAGTTTATTCTTTTCTCCTATTCACTTAATATTTGCTAAATATTACCTTTGACGTTACGGTTTTCAATTAACTGCTTTAAGATGGCCACAGTCTTTCTCTAAAACTCTCTAGGATGTCACACAATGAAGGGAGCATTGAGTGATATTCCAGTCAAGACTAGAATGGTGGGCCTCGCACGACTTTTATTTCAGTTTTGTGACCGGGAGACGGTAGGAACGACAAAAAAAAAAAAAAAAGAATTGTGAGATAAGCTCTATTGTTTAGTAAAATCTCAAGTATGTAAATTTTCGTTTGTCACGTTTCATGCCAGGCACTCAGTGTCATTAAGCCCAGAGTCAAATTACAGGGAATATTGATACAAGAAAAGCTATTGCTTATGTGTAAACATAAGTTGAATATTCTTTTGGCGAGTATAGTCATGGTTTCGAAGTGAATGGAAAACAATATTCGGCCATGTATGATCAAGGAAAGCCGAAAGGAAACTGGCCGGGACCAAATTCAAAATTACATTATTTGATTAAAAAGGGAAAATAACCGGATTGAAATGGTGCATTCTATTGCTATTCCAGGACGGATATTTGTTAAAACGCTTTCGTTAAAAAATAGAAAGAAAGAAAAGAAAACGGGATTTCTCCCTGATATAGAGTGAACTTTTACATCTTGAGTAATTATTCGACAAGAATAATTGCCGTCGGTCTTGATCGACAAGGTTTTAGATAAAGAAGAACCACGTAATTGTTACACACTAGAACCATTAAGTTTGTGTAGCTCAGCGGGCATGATGCCAAACAAAATGTATCCAAAGACACAATTTGTTTAAGTGCGGCAACCCGCCTTAGACAAAGGCAAACTTAAGAAAGAGGCAATAGGGAGTGTCACAAAGATAAGATAATTCGTGTTTTTTTGGCGTATTTTTGTACGAAATTGCAAAATTGAAATTTTTAATCTTGGCAAAGAAGAAACTCCTCTGGAGCGAGAGTTTATAAACCGCCTCTGAATAAGTCATTACTTTGGCCTGGATGGTGGTGTATGAAAATGTAAATACATTGGATGAATGCCATGTGTATATTCTTCAAGTCTTTATTGAAGCCGAATTGCAGTGAAGAAAATGTGGCACGCTCATTTTAGATTTGTGGCCAGCCTATTTGATGAACCGTTTGTGTGTTGTTCAATTGAGACAAACGATTTTGTGCCGCGATTCCTTACAGAATTGGATTATAAATGCGCCGGATAGCGCCAATGTGTTTGACCACATTTACCAGGTCTGTTGTAAAGGTATGGCTACCTCTAGTTATGAAATTTTACTTCAACTCACGCAAAGCGGATAAAACAATTTTGAATTAACGTCTAGTAGAAGTGTATGTGGTGCGTACTTACGAGAGTATTCGTACACGAGAAATATCCGCGCACACGCCCTGTCTCGATTGAGTTATTCATATAGTGCTGTCAACGATAAGAGCAATTTTATTGCTCTAGCTGGTATATCAATGATACATTTTACTTAATTTATATACGTGCTAAATGATACTTAAGAATCCCCTTTCGCCCGGTTTTTACTCAGTACTTCCACAGGCGGCTTTAGAAATGTCTTGTAATACCTTACAACGTGACAAATTTAAGAGACGTAAGAATATTCGACAAGTTTCGAGGCTGATTGATATTTACTGGAGATAAATTAGATACCCAAAGTGCAGTAATTAATTGAGATATATCAAATGCACCTGCCGGAGAGAAAAGTGAGATGCCATCTCATTGGCTAGAATGAAATTCATCTATAATTGCTATTTATAGTGTATAAATATGCTCTCTCAGCGATTATTCTTTTGCAACTCTGTTGCACGTTCGCTCAATCAGTTGGAACTGCAGGCGGAAGAGAGCTCGTCAGATTCGCGTCCAACGAATTGGTAGCTAATTTTACATTAAACAATCAAAGCGCAGAAGCAATATCACTTGTGACTACACACTGATAATTTCTGTTGCAAAAATGCGGCTCTGCTGTGGAATGATTTGTGCGCTTCTTCAGGTGGGTTTTTCCTTAGTTTAACGCCTGTCGGACATTGCTACTTTGGACAGATGATTGCAGATGTTTTGACAATGTTGTTTTATTCATAAAAAATCAACAGAGCCTTCTTTTCTTGGTCATCGTTGTCTGCGGTGTGGGTAAGTGTGAAGAAGACCTTTACTTCTACCATATAACATTTATAATCGTACTTGCAGCGTACAGCGATTGAGAGCATGACATATCATTTCGAAGGTCAATTTTACTTCGCAAAATACGTCTCCATTTATTGTCTGATTATTTCTGACGAAACGTTCTTTTAGACTTCAGCGCAACACTGTATGTGGGTCTTCTGTGAGAGCTCCTACAATGTCTGTTTACATGTGTCAAGATTCCGTTTACCAGCTTTGACTGACGAAGGGCTAATTTAAGTGGCTCACGATAGCAAGGAGCTATTTACTTTCGCATTTAATGGTTCATTTAACTCATTCACTGTCTGCCATTTGTGGAACTCTGTCTTTTTGTGTGTAAACCAGCGTAAAAATTTCTGGAACACTATCTCATTCATATAGGGTTATGGGTACGATATCAATTTCGTCATTTCTGAAAAGAGTAGGCAAAAAAAAGGCATTACTTTGTTTGGGTACCTTTCTCATGCCCTTCGGCTATAAGACGTTTTGTGTGAATTTTTATTCACAAAAGAATTGCTTGTGCAAATTATTTAATAACTGGTGCTCCTTTGTGTAAAGTATGTCTATTGTTACTCTGGGGGTTTTCAAGAAGTGTTTCAAATATATTGTTAGCACATGATGTTTGCCAATGCTTTAGGCCTCTTGTTTTATTTCATTTCATTGAATGCCATTTGTCACTTGAATGCACCAGTATTTTCCTTCATTTTTAATTACGCAGTGTCGTAATTTGCTTCAAGCAAATTTGAATTGATTTCAACGCGCTAAGTACACGCGATACGTCAACTTTGGAGTGAAATAACCACTGAAAATCTTTTGTCTTTGGTGACAACGGAAGCAAGTGAATTTAAAGATAAAATAGACTTCGGCGAGAAAACATGAAGTTTTTTGGCTTCACATCCAACTATGCATGTTTCCCGCAAAGTTTCGTTTCCTAGGATTTGTTCGAAAGGTACACAAACATACACGCGAGCCAGACCAGAATATTTCACTGCGTTTAACTCGCCATCGACTCCCCTAAACCCTGCTGGATTATCGCTCCATTCCACGGCGTTAAACAGCATGTTTTTTCTTACTTGATATGGAATCAAAACGTGCAAACTCCTTCTCGAGCAGATTTAGTTTCAATAGCTTTTAAACAAACTTTATTTTCCGAACCGCATGTAGTCAGTGAAAGAGTCCTCATATTGCCCTACATGGCTCTGAAGACTATAAATAAGTACCCTGCGTAGCTTGTTAATTCTATATTTTCGTGCGCACCTCTTTAAAATGATATCTCTCCCATGCTAGTTAACGTATATTGCAGCTTAACCGGGATTCTGCGTTGGCTGTTATTGGAGTAGGTACAACAAGCCTTAATTTGAGTTGCGCAGGCCAATACAGTTGATAGCCTAAAAACTCCCAGGAAATCTGTAATGGCACTGGTGCGAAACGAATTACTTAAGGAAACCGGATATCTCAAAAATCTCGTCAAAACCTCTACTGAAACCGGTAGAGTATCGTGATCTGCAAGCTCTGCAGTTGTTTCCTTTTGACGCAATTTGATTTCCTGAAGTGCTGAGGAAACTTTATGATAAAGGCCTACGCAAGAAGAGTAGAAATTGTGTTCCTTTCATTACTTTGTTTTCAATTAGTTTTAGTCTGTGCTTTGCGCTGAATATTGCTCAAGAATCTTTCGATAACAAATTTTAAGAATGGTGAGCACGAATCAAACTGATGAATTTCTGTCAAATTTAGCAGTTACTATGGCTTTTAAGCAGAGCAAGAGTGAGACAAAAATATTTCCTTTCCTCGGTAGTCGACGATAACGTTTCGTTTATTACGATGCGTATGTGCATACGATAAAAGATACAGATCTTTTCTGAAACTTTCTTGGCTTACTCACAGCACCAAAAAATTTTCGGGGAAAGGTAAAAGAAAAAGTATGAAACGCTCAGAATTCCCAAAAATGCAAGAAGCTTAACGCAAAATCCGCAGGTAATTTCATCTCCTCCTAAGAAGATACTTGTCAAAATCCTCTCAGAAAGGACATGATACAGTGGTCTTCATTGTGTTAATATTTTTCTTCTTAATACAATATCGATCTTTATCTTCGTTCTGATAATTCCAAGACTTAGTCCAGAAAACACTAAGATGAGAAGATCTTGAGAGAAACATTTCGTAACATTTTGTTACGAAGAATCAGTTTTACTCGTTTGATACAATCAGGGCCAAAATTCGCGTTTACCCTGCGCCAGCCGAGTGAAATGTTGGAGCCATTTCGCACTGGAGTTCAAAAATTTCTCAGATTCGTGTGAAAGAAACAACCTAATTGTGACTATATCTTATCAGGCATGTGTTATATATAGTATTTCAGTTTAAAAGTAACTCAACGATATGGTTTAATAATTATAAAGACACCAGCTAAACATGCCTAGTTTATCACATAGCTATTATAGTAGAAAGCCAGACACCAGAAGGCGTATACATGTATATCAGCGCTATTCAAACTTTTTAGGCTTTTCATGTTTTTTTTGTTCGTGTACGGGTGGTACGATATTAAAATTGAAAAAAAAAAGTGCGAAAGATAAAAAATTAAGTAACTACAGACAGCCTTTATAACCTAGTTATGTCAGACTGAGGTTTGGTGGTATTTTTTATCACATCTAATACGTGCTTGCAGTCCCCCACCGTTATGTAACTATATTCTGAAAAATTCTCAATTATTAATGGCCTCTCCAATAACGTTGAAGCTTTCTGTACCTATGCCGGACTAATTAGGTACATTCGATTTGCGAAAAAAAAACTCAGTTTGACTATATTTTTTGAAAGTGGAAACACTGAACCGAATACACCACCTAAACGAAATGAAAATTGAAATAACTAATAGTCGCGTTTCGCTGATAAACTTCCCAACCGGGTAAAATATTGTGAAGTAACAAATGTTGTCTTTTATGATTGTTGTTGTTGTTGTTGTTGTTTTTTTTTATTTTTACCAAGAGCGATCGTACATGTACAACTAAAGAGAAACGAAAATTAAAATAAGGCCAAACGGAGGTAGTCTGACCTTGTAGGCGTTTTAAATTTATTCTGCGCGGATAGTTTACCAGTCTCAACGTCAAGTACCCGAGCACTTTTTTTCTGGTTTACGTCCAGATAAAACAATTTTGAGTGCATTGCTAGCAATCTGCCTTTGGAGTAGCAGGACAAACGTTGAAAGTCCAAACATTGGTCATCAACCGAAAATGTTTTATGTTATCAAAGTGGAAGGAAAATTTAACCGTTGAAAGCCGGGTTAAGACCATCGGTCATGGGATTTTGTTACAAAATGAATTGAACTTTTCAGACTTTACTTTTTGCGACTTCGTTTTTAACACCCCAGGGCAAAAGGAAATGACCGTCAATTCTGGAATAGCGTTTGTACCTTCAAAGGCCAATGTCTGAAAGATGTTGTTGCCTTAGGCAATGCAGAGGTTCAACAGATACTTATATTTAATTTAAGGATTTGAGGGACTATAATATGTGAGAAAATGTTAATCCGTGGTCTTGTAGTAGAAAACAAAAAATTTTCAATGCAGAATCTATGTTGCAACACGTCCAACACGCAGGGGACAACTTTGGCTTTTCGAACCAAAGCTGGTACCTATTTCGGTCGTTGTTCATTTGTTTTTAATTTTTTATTTCAACAGATTGCTGTATGTCAATTTTAAAGTACTCTTTCGCAATCCAAGGCAATTTTTGTTAGGCTATTCGTAGGAAAGACATAATTTAACATCTCTTAAGAAAACGACCTGCAGTTCTCGTTAGTCGGTCAGTAGCCACTGAACACCTCCAATGCGAAATAATTACAGTTTCATCCCTTAATTTTGCTACTATCTGGCAGAAAATTCAAGACATTGCTTCGATTGTATTTAGTATAAACCATGCAGTAGGTTTTATGTTCGCGATGCCCTCGAGTGTAGCTTAAAACTCAGACAGCGCAGGTGTGGTGGCCTAAAAAGTAATTACGTCGCGCACATGAATAGAATTTTAAAATCTTAGGTTGCGACGAGACAAACAATACATTAGCGACAAGAAATTAACTTAAGTTAGTTAATACAAAATAACCTGGAAGGTGTCTGTTATAACAAAATATTGGGTTGTCTGGAAGCAGTGTAAAAATGTTAGCAAACATTACTTTGAAAAAGCATCTTTATGAAATTAGAAAATGGATGTCGCATACTGCTAAGATGATGTGTGATAACTTATTTTGCTCTTTCTACTAGCAGTAGAAAATACAGATCTTTAACAAGCCAAACTGCATGTATTTCCAAAACTGACAGAGTTCAGATGTTGAACGGAATTGTGTCGTCCCAAACTTGTTTTTTCCTTATTACGTTTAAGACAAAATTCAAAACTGCAACTGGAGGAAATTAATCCTTTTGAATTTTTTTTAAAAGCGCCACTTTTATGGTTTTCGCGAGCAAAACAAGCCCCTGATTATAATACTTTAACAGGATGAAGGACAGGGACGCCTTGCTTTCGCACAATTAGAATTAGTAGCAAGAAATAAATGACGATTGAAGTAAAGATAAATACACGTCTGACTCACTGTAATGGCCTTCAAGTTCGAGTTCAGAATGAAAGGAAAAAAAATTTTATGATAGAATTTACATACTCTGCTTATGACCTCAGGGACTCTGAAAATAAGCATAATGTTCCACTACCGCGCACTAATTATTACAGAAAAAGCTTTAGCTACAATGGCGCCACATTATGGAACAGTCTACCAAGCGATATAAGGAACACAGAGTCTCTGGGGTTATTTAAACGTAAGATCAATGACATTCTTTAAGTCTAACGCACGGCATTCACCGAAAACAGCTTTAGTATTATAGTATGTAGTTTTAATTTTAAATATCGTAGCGTATGTGATATGTATTTTTATCGGCTGATGAATTGATCGTGTTTAAATAAAGATTAAATAAAATAAAATAAATAAATAAAATAGATATATTTGTTTTGCAAATCGAATTTAAAATCTGTAATAACCTACTTGCGAAATTACTTAAGAAATGATTATTCACCGCGGTGGCTTAAAACAAAAATGATATAGCTCGACATTATATTCATTTGTAGCAACGGGAATCGCCTATAAACAAAAACTTGGTAATAATTGCGGGATATATTTTGAAACATTGATTACACCTAACGACTCAATCAAGTTCTGTCCAATATTCACGTGGCTCGTCGGCTCATCAGGAAATTGTATTAAGTCTCTTGCCGTGTAAATACGTTATTGTGCGGTTTCTTTTGGCGTAAATAAAGCGAAAGAGTAGCCAAAAATATTGTTAAGTGATTTCTATTTCGTTGCTTCTCGATGTCTTGAGAATTATCAATCAAATGGGTTTTGAATATCGTTCTTTTTTTTTTTTTTTTAAGTTCTTTCTTACTTAAATTCCAAGCGTCCATATCTTAAGTTCATTCCCAGCCTATTTACTTTTTGATTATTACATTTATGACACACATTTAGGGGGAAAATTATCCAAGAGTGATGTTCAAATGAGTTTAACACTTTGGCATACACTGTCATTTTGCTCGTTGGTAGGAACGCAAGAAATCTGTACCACCAGATCCTAGTGTCCACACCTTGTGTGGATTTTGTCATGGGAAAAATTCCAAACCCGCAGCACTAATGATGTTCCCTTTTTTAGTCGTAGGAATGTTTTTGAAAATTATCGTCTTGATTATCCTACTTGGGATGAGTATTAGCAAAGAGCAAGTGGTACTAATAAAGAATTCGCGTTATATAAGAAATACAGCCCTAAGACTTTAAAAGAATGGTCACTTGGAACTGGGAAATGTGTGAACAAAGAAATTTTAAAAGTATTTGCAGTTTTATTTCCGAAGTTCGAATTTCATCTTTAAGTGAATAATGCGTGTTTAAGGCAATGACGTGGTAAGATTCATATCCTTTGCATGTGTGCAAACAGAATTAAAGCTTTTTTGAGCCGGTAAACCTGAGCGTTAGCACTGACAAGAAAACGAAACATAGCGCTGACTCGGTCACGCCGATCAGTTGTGCACTGATTGGAATAAATCGAGAGAATTTATAGAATTCAATCAATTCAAAGTCGTTTAATGTCTTTAATTAAAGAAAATGACTAATATAGCCCAGACATAATCAATATGACTTCCTCTAGCTCATTATCTGAACCCCATGCGGGTAGAAACTCGCAACGATTTCTATCAGTCTTCATTCAAATCTGCTTGAAAAATTATGGAAGATGCGAATCACATAAATTATGTTTGGTTTCTTATGTGATTGACGTTCATTTGTGACATGGATGTGTCATGGGAATCGCTTACTTTGTATAAGTGTCTCTTTTATACATTTTCTGTCTACAAACGGTATTGTAGATATGAAATTCTCGATACCGTCAGATTTGGTCTTCACTGTCGTACATGGTATCTACTTAACACCAAACCAGTGTTGACCCAACTTCGGTGATTGTATTAACAAAGTTTTATTTATTTACCACATCACGCTTTTCTCTTTAGCTGCTAATTACGTGTACCATTAGATATTTGAAACATCCTTCCATCATCAAAGCTTGACAGAGATTCCTGTACCAGTATAGTTAATGGAAGTTTTTTTTTTTTAATACTTTATCAAGTGTCCGGTTTCATCACTGTCAATTTGTAAGTGCTCATTTTATTTCAAGACTTTAGTTCACAATGACAAGGCATTAACCACTTTTACACCGAAATACCGGTCATTTGTGAGATATTTCTAAATCGATCACTTATTTGTTGATCGGAAATAAAGCTTCTTATAATGAGCAACTGGAACAGTAGTTTCTATTAAAACGCGTGTCACTCATTTTGTATACACTGTTCAAACTTTTCACTTCTTCTAATGTCTATAAAGCCCCTTACCCTTTAAAAGCATTCCGTTGTTTTATCGTAACTTTCTGTTAAGTGCACTTAGCGTCAGGTGACTAAAATGGTTTTTGAGCGGGAATTTTTCGCATTTTTTGTTTTTTGTTTTTTGTTTTTTTCAATTTTAAGTGCCTTTACCATGCATCAGAGATAAATTGCTTGTTTTCCTGAAGAAACCTTAAAAAAAAAAAAAAAGACTTCAGAAGTTCTTTTCAACATTATCAACCATTATTTATTTCTTTGTTTATTTGTATTTCTTGTTCTGGGGGATAAACTTAGGTCATTGTAACGCCAAATTTAACTAAATGCTGCTCTTGTCGAACACTTTCTCAGGAAAAAAAAATTTCACTTTAAAGTTATTGTTTTCTTAAAATAGCTCTAGGAACGATTTTGTTCGGTATCGAAGGTTAATTTAACCGCCGAAACTAATGACAGACTATAAATTACGATATTTAAGCGATGTTTGATATAATTATATATTGTTTTTCTTAAATCTATATGTGTGGTGGGCTGATTTGTAGAGTTTCGTGATCAAAGGCAAATAGTAGGCAGTGCTTCGACGATATTGTAATCGCGGTTACTGTTGTCATTAAAGTACTCACAAGCGTTTTTTTTGTGAAATTAAGCATTGCATTCTTTTTCGGTGAGAGAAAATTCCACTTGAGAAGTTCTTCGTTGTTGAAGCTTCCCAAGATTACGTTTCTCAAGTGAGCTAAAGTCAATTTGACGCCTTTTCAATTGTTTTGTTTTGAGGGCTTAATGAGGCTCGGTAAATTGTTCTAATATTTTGTACATAATTTCAGTTTCCTTACGAAAGAGGGTGACGTCAGACAAATAACGATCATTAAGCACTGACCTCAAGATCCATGTCTGTTTATACAAATTGTAAAACCAGCGAGGCATACATAAACAAACCATTGAGTGAAAAACAATTTGAAGCACATTTCAAGTCGCTTCTTTGACTTCATTCCTTGTTACCATTTTCAAAAATATGTCAATATGACATTTCCCTTTTCGAAAAATGAGCAAAATCTAGTCTCAAACAATTGCGTGTAGATGTCTCAAGCAACAAAGGTAATTTAAATGAGCATAACATTAACTGATGACCGTGTTATAATTACGGGTGCATAGCCGGCATAACTGTTAAATGGAGCTTAGTGGACCGCCTATGACGTACATTACTTGAGGGCTAAAGTACTTGTTTGTATTATGTACGAATGCTTGTTACGCAAAGAGAAAGGCAAAAGTTATGCTGTGACGACCGAATCACTCCAACCGTTCCTTTTCTCTGTTATCTTGAAGATAGATATACGTTGAATCATTTCAATTATGTTGCCTTTTCTTCTTTTTTTTTTTCTCAGTTGGGCGAGAAGACACCATTGCTACAATGTTGTCACTGTTTACGTCATTTTCTCTAAATAAAGATATTTTTAGTTATTTTAATGTAAATTTTTGATGATGCGGATTGGTATTGGAAGTTCTTATGTATAGAATGTGAATACAGACACCCCAGTTTCAAGATACAGCGTAACGCTAACATTTTAGCTTGGGTTGCCTGCGATGGGCATGACATTGATTCTTTCCGTGGTCCCCTGGGGAGGTGCTTTATTCCCTTGGAGGAGAGGTTTCGTATAGCATGTACAAAATCAGAACTAACTTAACGAAAAAAGAGAACATAAATCCCTTTGAAGAGAGAAAAAGTACTCGTTCTTCTCTTTTCTCAGATCACTGTCCAAAGTCAGTTCATCCGTCTACAGGAAGATGTAAAATCGACTGTTTGTTGGATACTCAATGTGAGAGATGGCAATACTGTTGCAAAACCGGCTGTTTGCAAACTTGTGGTAAGGACTAATTTATTACAAATGCTGTAAGTTTGTGCTGGGTTCACGGTCAACTGAGAGAGGAGGGAATAAAAGAGAAAGCCAGCGAGAGCCTGAAGGACGTACCTTCAGGATTAAAATTATGATAAATAAAAAGCCGGCGATAAAGTATTTTGTGTACAGTTGTAAAGAGTTATAGACTTGAAACTACAGCAAATTGGCGAACCCATAGCCTGCCGAAAATCGTTTGCTTTATCTTCTAAACTACAGAACCTAATCAGGAACCAAAGAGCATTAATAAAGCGATTTACACCTGAAATGTTTTGACTTGATCAGGTGAAAACATATGGCAAGTTTTTCCACGACAAATCCATTTTCCTAACAGAGAAATAATTGGAAAAGGAGAACTATCCACAACTATTTTTGTAATTGCGAAAATGAACTGAAAAGAAGGTAGTTCAGAACATTTTAGTGCATAGGTATAACTCCAAGGATAATATTCCGTGACAACTGCCTTTGCTAAGTATTATTTGCTAAGTATTCTTTTCTAAAGTTAGTAGTGAAGCGGCAATCTTCTTTCACAACTGCTGTTGCCAAGGAAAACTTGGTAGGCTTTATGGCTGTGGATCTTTCACTTGACAACCTTCCATGTCCGTAATATTGAAAACCTTACGTGTGTAGAGAGAGAAACAAAATGGATAATTTATTTCATCTCCTAGTAAACTACACGACATGCCAATTACAAAAAGTCGAGGCAGCGCTGAGGAGACGGGGCTTTTCGCCAGCCTGCAATCCGGACGGAAGCTTCAGGGAAATCCAGTGCACAACTACTACACCACTAAAATGTTGGAAAGTAAATGCGCATGGAAAAAAGATTCAGGAAACCGATGTCACCATTAAATTTTCCTCTCCCTCTCCCTCTGAACGTCGTCAGCAAGGAAAACCTCAAAACGTCCAGCAATTCCCTATCCTGGAAGAGGACGAAATGGGTAATTTATTCACATTATTTCGATGATGTATTCAGTTTCGATTTCTTGTGTACTAGTGCATATTTTCTGGGGAAAAACGAATTTCACCAAGAGGGAAAGGGACACGCTTGGTGATTCCAACATCTTTTTTCGCGGTGAACCTCCAAATTATGATTTACTTAGCGGCATAGAATAAGTTTTTAGAAGAACATTTCCTTGAAAATCTGAATAGCATCCGAGTCGGCCCTCGGTAGAGAACGACTGATTTTTCTCAAATAATTTATGTTTGGCAGCAGGGTTTTGAAGTATGTGTTGCTGATTTTGTTTTTTGTCTTTTTTTCCCTGAAAAATAACATCCCATCCACAACAGCAAACTACAAAAAAGAAAAGCAAAACGAAACAAGATAGAGGTCGTATCTAAGAACTTCTGAAAAACATTCAGAGAAAGTGTAATCGGAAGGGAGTGCTGTCGAACTGACATCTACCTTCTGATCGTTTAATAACTTTGTTATGAATATGGTATTTCAATGCCCGCCTTGCAGTGCCGCAGCGACGTTCACATTTCCACCACTGTTATGGTATGAAAGCGTAAATTTGTTTTCACGATTTCCGTAATACAGGCTGACATGTTTTGAAACACCTTTTTCGACAGACGAAAATCCCCCCCAAAAGGAAAAAACCCGCTGCCAGCGAATGCGTGAACGCAGGTTGAAGAAGAGAAAGAGCAACCCAGGAGTTTTTGTACCAAAGTGCAAATCAAACGGCCATTTCAGAGTTGCGCAATGTAATAGTAAAAGATGTTGGTGTGTGGACCGACAAGGAAAACAAATTCCAGGGACAAAACTCAGAGGACGAAAACCGAATTGTAGAACTGTAACAGGTTAGATAACCAGTTAACTGTATTTTTGTGATCAGTTTTTTTAATTTTGCTCTCGGTTGGTACACAAGGCAGCAATCATACCCGCCATTAGATAACAGGTTAGATAACCGGTCTACTGTATTTTCCTGGTTGGCTTTTTTTTACTTTTGTTCCTGGTTGGTACATAAGGCAGCAATCATACCTGCCGTTGCCGCACCCTTTCCCGTGCTTTGGCCCTAACTTCGCCCTTATAAAAACCTTTCTCTTCCAGTTTCTTCCCCGGCGTTCTTTCTTCAGAAAACTGACTTTCCCGTTTCTCTTTAATTTCTCCATTGGGAGAAGGCTGCTTTGATTTTTCTTTAAAATTGGTGGTTTCGTTACTTAGTTGTGAACATTTTTAGAGCAATGGACATGCGAGGTAGAAAAAGTCTTCGATTTCCGTAATCAGTCTCGATGTCTTCTTCCTACTTTACTGAGAAAAATGGAAAGTGAAGACTTAAAAGAAACAGCTTTGAAATTTTTTTATCTAACAAATTTCACTTCACCCTAAGCTTTGAAGCAGGGCTGTTTTGCAACTGGAAACAAATCAGAACGTTTTCCAAGTTTTACCTTAAGAAACGTTTCTACTCTTTTCAGCTCCTGGTGATTGTGGAAAACGTTGGGGTTTGTACAATCCTCGCTCCCGAAGGATTGTGGGAGGACAGGAAAGCCTTCCCAACTCCTGGCCGTGGATGTCTGCGCTGTTCTTCAATCGCAGCAAGCTTGCCTGCGGAGCAACCATCATAAAACCTTCTTGGGTTGTGACCGCTGCACATTGCTTTAGTAAGTCGAATAATTCTAACTAATCCCCATCGTCAACATAGTAAATTACTAAATCTCCACAAAATCGTGGGGTATTCCTAAGATTCGAGCAAAAGTACAACAAAGTACATTAACCACATTCACTGAGTTTTGTTGTTGCTTTTGTTGTTATTGTTGTGGCTGTTAGGTACATTTAACGAGGACTTTGAGCTTTAGAATATCCCCGAACGCAAAACGAGAAGAGGTATTTAAGTTAGTCAAAGAGACATTTCTTACAAAAATTGAGTTTTCAAGTTTCTGTATAGGAATGAGGCCGGAATGTGTACGGAAATTAAGGATCTGTTGCTATTGTAAACCATTGTAATTTTTTGCAGGTTATGCTAAATTTAGTATGTTGAGTCCATAACGCTGGACGAAAAAAAAAAGGCTGCTAAAATACGCACGGGCCATTAGTTCATCAGTCCATGTTCATGTGCTTTGAAGGGCTAACGCTTGAAACCTGAGCTTTTAAACTCTTTATGGTTACCAATTTACATTATTAGCTCGTTGATAAAACCAAATTTCCTTTGTTACCCCCACCGACGCAGCACCACAGTTTCTTTAAAAAACTTACTCCCTTTATTCATTTTTATATGGACTTACTTATGTGGTTTGAACCTCAGATGAGCAAACATCAAAAAAACCTTCAGACTGGGAGGTGCATATTGGTGAACATTCACTTCACAGAGAGGAAGGGAAAGAAAGTAAGCTTGACGTCAAACAAATACTAATTCACCCAAACTACGTGCCAAGTAACTCCTCGCACCCCGGGGACAACGATATAGGTAAGGCTACTGTCTCTCTTTTCTTGCTAAGGGACGCATCCAACGATAGTACTTGCTTTACTTAACGCACGAATATGCCTGATCAAATGATGCTAAGGTGAACCCGTTTATATGTTGTGCAGACTATCATTGTTTATTTCTTCGGGTCAATTTTAAGGTTGAAACATAAACTTATCACTTAATTTCCACCTTAAGTTACTTAAAATGACTAAGCCCGCAAGACGGAAACGTCAGTAGTTGAAATCTTGATTAACGTCTCGTCCACATTGCATTTTTTGAAGATTTATCTGATTTTACGATGGGGTCCGTTTTTTTGTTAACTGATATTTGCTGTTGCTGCAAACTCGAATATGGGATGGTACAAAAACAATGCAACCAATCCACTGCTGTTTCTCGAGAGAAAGTTGCTTAACAGGAGGTCATCTAGTAGTTGAAGACTCTGGTGCTGTTTCATGATAATTATGTGCGATTTGGCTGTCTATTGTTTTTTTTCTAAAAAAAAAAAACATCTCAAATGTGTAGTAGTCATATATAAAATAGGGATCGACTAATATTTTTGTAGAGCTGGGCCGGGTTGTTCAAAGCTGGTTTGAAATAACCTAACTGCATGTACCAGTTAGAATCGCTAATAGAATTAAAATTATGATTTTTCCTTTGAATGGGACTATTTAATACCTTTTCTAAGACTGCCTTGAGAGACAAGAATGGAGTGCTCATCTCATTTAGATATACACATGCTATGAAGAAGTCCCCTTTTTCCTTCCTCCGTACCTAAAATAGAAAGAAAACCTTTTTCGCAAACCACATTTGAGTTAAGATGTGTATGTCTTTTAGACAAAGAGGTCAGCATTGTAGATTT